AGCACCTACTTGCTGAGCTGGTAATCAGTGCCTCTGATGAACTTGAGCTTCTCCAAGGGCACACCAATGCTCTCCAGCATTGCTTTGATCATGTTCTCATAGAAACTGGTTCTGAGTTCTAGAAGTTCCCATGGGGCTTTCATATTATCCAGGTATGCATGAAGGTCCGCAAAAAGAATGGTTACCTGGACATAAGGGATAAGGGACCACCAAAATATCAGTTTGTCGAGTATCACTAAACCACAACTCCTCTCCCACCCCTGCGCCATCCTCATTAAGACTCTCTTTTTGTCTTACTCCAAGGGTAACTGCTTGGTTGATACCATGAGCTCTTACCTCACATCCTGCCTTCAAGAAATCAGCAATCTTGGACATGGGCACAAAGTAAGCCACATGTGGCCTGCCTGTGGTTGCTGTTCCCCAGTAAACTTTAAATTCCCGCTCCTTCAGTATCTCCTTTAGTTTCTCTTCCCCTAGAACCTCCTGTTGTGAAAGTAGAAGAGCTGGTTTAATGCTGGTGCCCTACCTGTGCATCCTTTACATCCTAAGTCAAGAAAAACAAAGCCATGTGTCACAGGGGTCCAGGCTCAGAGCCAGCAGGGAGGGCCAGCCATGTTCTCACTGTTGGGTACCAACCCAAGCTGATGCTCCTGCTGGTGCCCCTCCTGGGAAGTGACATGGTTGCAAGGAGGCAGGGGTGTATCTCTACTGGACTCCTAGCTCCTAGTTACACTGAACCCAGTTTCCTTCCTTTTCTGGAGGTAGCCATCCCTTCTTCTGTCTCCACTTCTTCATTTCGCGTTCCCTGTAAATGCCATACCACATAATACTGTAGGGAAGATCACAGAACTCCAGGTTGCTAATTTCAATGAATATTTGGGGGTGTGTGTGTGTGTGTGTGTGGTGCTGGAGATTGAACCCAAGGCTTTGTGCATACTAGGCAAGTAAATGAATACTTTCTAGTCATCATTTCCTCTCTGAAACTCTCCTCTTTTTTGATTTCCTTATTTTATTCTCTTAGTTTCCCTCTTCTTTTTTTGGGTACTGGAGATCAAACTCGGGACCTTGCGCTTGTGAGGTAGGCGGTGGAACCACTGAGCTAAATCCCCAGGCCACAGCTTAGGTATCATTGGTGCTGTTCCTCTTCTTCCTAATCAACAAATATTAGCAGTCTTTGGGGCTTTGGTCTTTTCTTATTCAACATTCTCCCTATTTATCAGTTGCTTAAATTATTACTCATGAGCTACTAATTCCCAAATCTCCTGCTCATACCCATATACAGACTCGTACCCATATATATATATACACCCATGTACTTATTTCCTTTTTTTTTTTTTTTTTTTTTTTTTTTTTTGTACCGAGGATCAAACATGGGAACTTGCACTTGCAAGGCAAGTGGCAGAACCACTGAGCTAAATCCCCAGCCATAGAATCATGTCCTTATTATCAACCCAATACTTCATACCCAACACATTGGGCCAGGTAACACATGTTTGTAATCCCAGCACTTTGGGAGGCTGAGGCAGAAATATCACCATGAGTTCTAGGCCAGCCTGAACTACATAGCAAGTTCCTGTCTCAAAAAATAAATAGGACTTGGGATTTAGCTCAGTGGCACTGCACTTGACAAGCACAAGGGCCTGAGTTCAATTTTTTTTTGGTACTGGGGATTGAATTCAGGACCTTGCGCTTGAGCTTTGGGTGTATTCTTTAGTTTTTAAAGACAAGGTCTCGCTATGTGTGTAGTTCAGGCTGGATTTGAACTCCCAGTGATCATCCTGCCTAGGCCAGTATCCTGATAAAAGTGTTTTCAGTGTTTCTTCAAGTGATGATTTTGGTAGGGTTTTAAAAACCATGGGATCTGGGAGTGGTAGCACTTGCCTGTGATCCCAGCACTCAAGAGGCTGAGGCAGGAGGATCACAGCTGAATTTAAGGTCAGCCTGGGCTACATAGTGAGTTCAAAGCCAGCCTGAGCTACATAGTAAGACCTGTTTCAACCACCCCCATAAAACTATGATAAACAAAAGGTATCTGTTGTCTAATTAGCAGGACTTGAAATTCTGTGTTCCAAGTCTGTTGGTGACTGATTTTACATTCTCCAAAGCTCCTTATGATCTGGACACTTAAGGGATTCTCATAACTCACGGAAAGTTCATATCACTCTAGCTTCTAAAACCTGAGCAAGCCAATTCCATATCCTTTGTGCACTGCATGTCCCCAGCAAGCATCATTTCACGGACAGAGGGCAGGAAACAAAGGAATCTGGCCAAGAGAAAGCAAGTAAAAAAACCTCTAGTGAAAAATGAAATAAGTCAGACACAAAAGGGAACATATTATAGGTTTCCAGTTATCTGAAATATTCAGAATAGGCAAATAAATACATAGGGACAGAAACTACATTACTGTTTTCTTAGGGCTTGGGAGTAGAGGTAATGGATATTGACTGCTAATGGTATGAGTTTTTTTGGGGGGGAGATGAAAATATTCTGGAATTAGAAGGTGGTTGTGGATGCACAATTATGTGAATACTGAGTTGTACGCTGTAAAACAGTGATTTAAATTTTTTGGGGGGGTACCAGAAGTTGAACCTAGGGTCTTTGCTCTGAGCTACATCCCTATCCCTTTATTTATTTTGAGATTGGGTCTCCCTAAATTGTTGAGTTGCTTAGGTTGCTCAAATTTGCAATCCTCCCTCAGCCTCCCAGAGGCTGGGATTGGTGGCAGAGGAAGGTAAGGGAATGAACAATACAATTAGTGAGTGTTTTATCAGTAGTTTGTAGCCAAATTAGCCATTTCTCTGAACTATAATTTTCCTTCTCCCCTCTGGATTTTAACGAAATACTACAATATTCTTCCACACTGAACTATAATTTTTCTCCACCCACCCCCCATCTTAACAAAATACCACAATATTCTTCTATCTGAAACCACCACTGCGCGCGCCCATTTTCCCATTCTTCTACTGGTTAACTCCTACTCCTGCAGTCCGGAACATTTGCAGGATGAAGAGATGATCCATACTCCTCAGACAGCAACACAGAGGTTAGTTCCTCAGGGGGAACCTTCCCTCCCTTCATTTCCTTCCAGTATATTAACTTACAGGGCTTAATTTCAACTGAAATGGTTTGGCCTATGGGTCATTTTTAACGTATGATCATCCCCAGACCGGCTCTGGAAGGTGAGGGCCCTGACGCATCCCTAGCACCTAGCACCTCGCCTGGCACATAAATAAGGTGGGAGTCGTGGATTGAAAGCATGGCTCCGGCACAAGGTAATGGCACAAAAGAGGAGAGCTCTCTGTGATTTCTGTGGCACCCAGGGAAAGGCGGCTTGACCGACCGACTGATCGAACAGCAGTGAGAACTACAGTCTCTTCAGAACTGCCCCGGCGCGAAGTCCCCGACCCACACATTCAGGACTGAGCAGGACCACTGGACCCGCGGCTCCCAGTTCCAGCCGCACATTTCAACCCCGAGGCCCGACCTGCAAGTTCCGGGTGATAAGGTGCAGTTTCTCTTCCGGGCTGGGAACGTCCCCCATGGCTCCGTCACCTCTACTTCCCTCGCTCAACCGGCACCCGCGCCCCTTCCTCTGTCGCCGCCGCCGCCGCGTGCCGGGAACTGTCACGCGAGTCCCGTCAGGTTGCATCAGCTGAGCTCTTCAATCGGCTTACTCGGCCTAGACCCTTTGCCTAGCAGTAGCTAGGAAGGAGTCAGGAGCAAGGGAGAGTCGAGCGGGTCGATGAAACGGGAAGGGGCGGGGCCATCAGGTGGAGTAGGCGGTGTGGAGGGCGGGGTTGCGCTTCTGTGGTGGGTGCATTTCCCTTGGGGGCGGGGCGGTTTCTTGCCAATCATTGCCTGACTGCCCTCCCCCTGGCGTTGGCCCGGCTGCCTCGGGGTGGGGGAGGTCGGGGAGGGGGCGATAAAATGGCGCAGGGGGCGGAGTGAGGCGCAGTCGTTCGCCCAGGCTTTGGCCCGGCTTCCGGAGGTGAAGAGCGGGAGGGGTACACGGTCGGCGTTCGTCGGCTGGGCGGGGGTTGGGGGCGCCTGTTGCTTCTCCAGGGGGTTGCACGTCCCGTTGAGGGCCCCGTACGCCCTGTTGAGGGGTAGGGAGGTCCTCGCTGTGGTGGGAGAAGGGCTGGTTCTCGCCCCTGAGGTGGTGGCGGAGGAATGTCCCTGCCCCCCGTTCCACCTCTGCGGTCCAGCGATGTCCCCTCACCCTGCTGAGGAAAAGGAAGAGGGAGGCTGTGTGGTCGTTGAGAGGCCGGGCGCGCCGTTCCTGCCCAGTTGGGTTAAGGAGGCGGGAGATGCCACTACCTCAGCCCGCCGGCGGGAGGGTGTTGCTAGGCAGAAGCGGGATCACGGGCTTTCCTTGGCCCCGGCCGGCAGCGACTGAGAGGGTACCCACTCGCGGGAGAGCGGGCCGGGGCCGGCCGAGGTGTGACTGCACCCCTCAGGAGAAGGGCGTCCCTCCCGGGTCGGCCGAGGGGCCAGTGTCGCCCCCACGTGGGGGAGGGGCGGGGAGGAAGCCCGCGCTTCTCCTAATTTCTGCCGGGAGGCGGGAATCTTCGTCGTTCTGGGGAGGGAAGTGCAAAGGCCCCGCCGGAGTGTGGCGCCACCTCGCGGCTGACACCTTTGGAGGCTAGCAGGGGGAGGCCGAGCGACCGGCTCCTTGGCGAAGATCTGCACCACCTTTCCTTCTGGTCATCAAGGAAGGTGTACAGGGGAGGCAGTTGGTACCCAGGGTGAGCCCTCAAGAGGGCCCAAAAGTGATTCAGTTGCTCACCGGCTGCCCTAACTTCATCTCCAGCTTTTTTGTGGGTTAGGCGCTCCAAGCTTTAGCATACTCGTCTTTTTATTTTATTTTTTATTTTTAATTTTTTTTTGGTTTTGTTTAGGCGCTCCAAACTTTAGCATACCCGTCTTTTTTTTTTTTTTGGTACCTGGGATCGAACTCTGGACCTTGCTCTTGCAAAAGCAGGCGGTGGCACCACTGAGCTAAATTCCCGGCCCAGCATACCTGTCTTTTTTAAAAAAGAAACCTGTTGCTGCAGCTTAGTGATACATGCTCTCTATGCCCGTGTGGGAGAGGAGTCCCTGGTACCCTGATGGTAGTGAAATGTTAACATAAAGCTAAAATTTCCAGCCCTAGGTGGTTTTCTACCCTACAGTGTTTTCAGTTATCTCAAAAAGAATTGCAAAATTTTCACAAATAATTTCATTTCACTTTTTAAAAAGTTGGGCCCATTTTATGAATGATATGAGCTGTGTACTTCATATACTTATTTTACCTGGGAGAGGCTGGAAATCAAAGGCCAATGAGAAATCTTGTCCTTTAGGAATAATCCTGGCTGTTGACTGTCCCTGACCTAGCATGGTAATAGTTTTGGTTTTAGAGCCTTGAAAGAGGATGCGGGGTTGTATCTGGTGGTGCAGTTTTAGTGGCCTGAGTATAAAGGCTTTGTGCTTCAAGGCAGTAGGTTTTCTGAGGTAAGATAAAAATAGAGAACCAGTTTCTGAGGTTGCAACCAGGAGGTTAGAGAACAGAGGGGGTGGTACACTGAAGTGTGAAGAAGGGGGTGGACAGGTAAGAGAGATGTGGAAGGACAGAATAGGGTCACACAGGAATGGGGAGAAGAGTTATAGAATTGGGCAATGGGAAAAATATTCTCCCCTTAAAAATAAAGGGGTCCCCATTTTTTAAGTAGAGTCTACCCAGGAAGTGTCAAGGAAAGCAAGGGGTGATGTAATGGCACAGAGGTAAACTGAAACTGCCTTGGGGAACTTCATTTCAGAGCTTCAATTTTATCTGAGGGGTTTCCTCTCTTGTAAGTCACAAATTGTGAGTTTTCATTGGCATAGGATTTTTAGGTTTAGAGTGATTTCACAAATATTCCCTCACTTGATCCTTATTTGATCCAGTTAGCAGTATTTATCCCACTTTTCAGATGAGTATTCTCATCTGCATTGTGGTTCAAAGACTTGGGTTTCTAAGGCCTCTGGAATTTAGTCCATTGCTTGTATGTTGGATACTTCAGCGACCATTAATTTGAAGAACTTGCCTGATATTTCAGATGTTCGTCCAAAATGGTCTTTAATTAGAGACAGTATGGTCAAATGCTGTGTTAAGTGACTATCTGGCTTAAATAAAGCACACTGAATAATTTCTAAATCTTCAAAGTCTAGGCACAGTGGTGGTGAACCCTGGCATGGCTGTCTTTCTAAGACAAAAGATGGTAATGTATGAGTTTTTTCTAAACTAAAACCTTAGTATTCAGGTTTAATTGCAGTGTTGGTGGTACTTTTGCAACAAATATGTGGGTTCTGGGTTGCAGTTTGGGCATTCCTCTCTACAAGGTTTGCCCTCACTGGTCTCGGGGATGTTCCCTATCACTTTAGCACTCTTTCTCCTACCATTCCTGTGCTTAAGACTTCAGGGAATGTTACTAGAGTGGAATAAAATAATGATAGCTTCCACTTACTTATTTTTTAGATTGTGCCTGTTTGTGCTAACTGCTTTATGTTATGATTTCATTTAATTTTTGCAAAAATCCTATGAGGTAGATGTTATACTGTGAAGTTCAACTTGGGGGGGGGTACCGAGCATAGAACCTCAGGATCTTGTACTTGCTAGTCAGGTGCTGTACCACTGAGCTAAATCCCTGGCCCTCTGAAGTTCAATATTTGCAGGGAAGGACATTAGAAACTTGAGTGTGTTCATTGTGTCTTTCCCACTGACTCCATGCCTTAAAAACTTTTTATTAAGCATTTTAAGCATATAAAAGTAAGAAATAAGCTGGGCATGGTGGTACTTGCCTGTAATCTCAGCTCTGGGGAGGCTGAGGCAGGAGGATTGCCACAAGTTCAAGGTCTGAACTACATATTGCGACCCTGTTCCCCCCCCCAAAAAAAAAGGTAAAATAATAATGAATACCTTTATACTCAACTTTATATTATGTTGCCATATTTGTTTCTGGTCTTGTTGGATTTTTTGTTTGTTTTGTTTTTGGCACTGAGGATTGAGACCAGGACCTTCTACAAGTCTGGAAGCCATTCTACCGCTAAACTATAACCTCAACCTTATTGTCCATTTTTAAGAAGCAAAACATAGCCAGGCACAGTGGTGCATGGCTGTAATCCTATTTACTTGGAAGGCAGAGGCAGGAAGATCACAAGTTCAAGGACAGCCTGGACAATTTATTAAGCCCCTATCTCAGAATTTAAAATAATAAAAAATTTTTTGTTTACGTTTTTAAAATTTTATTGGTACATTTTAGATGTACATAATAGCATTCATCCTAGGAAGTTTGTACCTGTGCATATCTTGCTTCTTTTTTCCGTTTCCCCTCTCCTCCCTTCAACCCCTCTTCTCCTTATTACTAATGCTTTGTTTCCAGTTTTTCTTTCTATTCTCTTGTTCCTTCTTTCCTTCCCCCAAACCCCCTTCCTTGTTCCCCTTCTCATTTGCACATTTTTAAATAAACTTTAAAAAGGGCAGGAGTTGAAGTTCAGTGCCCTCTGGGTTCAGTCCTCATTTACTGATCCCCCAAAAGAAGCCAAACAAGCTGACAATCCCACCACTTTGGGAAACTGAAATAGAATCACAGGTTTGAGCCTAGCCAGGGAGCCTGTTGACTTCACAGGGTCCTATCTTTAAAAAAAGTATGGGAATGTCAGCATGAAGGTCCTTCGTCTGATCCTTTCTGCCACAAAAACAAAAAAGCTACCCATGCCTCCTTGCTGTTCCTCTTCCCTCCCCAGTATTGAAGGTAACCACTGTCCTGAATTTGGTGTTTCTCATTCCCATGCATGTTTTTATAATTTTATGATATAACGTACAAATATAGATGGTGGTGTTTTTTACCAAATTGAAGCAGAAAAAGATGGTAAATTTATAAATTAAGATACTCAGTTGATTCTGGAGGCTGAGGCAGGAGGATTGCTGTGATTTCAAGATCAGCCTGAACTACATAGCAAAGACACTGTCTCAAAAACCCAAAACCAAAAAAAAAACAACAACCTCAAAAATATATATCAGCCAGTTGCACGTGTAGTCCTTATTTGGATGCCTTTTTTTTATTTTTTGGTGTGGTTTTTTTTTTTTGGTTTTTTTGAGACAGGGTCTCACTGTATAGTTGAGACTATATAGCCCAGGCTGGTCTCAAACTCACAGTGATCCTCCTGCTACAGCCTCCCAAGTGCTGGGATTACAGGTGTGCGCCACCATGCCCGGCTGGCTGCCATTTTTTTAAAAGCTTGAAATAGTATGACTAAGATAATTGGAATTTGAACTGGATATTTTATAATAAGGACTTCTTGTTTACAGATAAAATGATGTAGTGCCTGGGGTTTGCTTCAAAATAATCTGATAAAAAGGGAAAGAGCTGTGGTTGACAGCTGTTGGGACTGAGTGAAGGGTATGTGGGGTGTCATTGTGTTACTGTTATATATGCTTTTATAATTAAAAAAATTTTGGTGTTATTGGGGATTCAATCTACAGCCTTTGCCCTGAGATACATCCTTAGCCATTTTATGTTTTATTATTTTTTGAGACATGGCATTGTTAAATTGCCCCAGCTGTGTTCATACTTGGGATCTTCCTGTCCTAGCCTCCCAGAGTACTTACAGGCATGTGCTGTTACATCAGGCCTGTCTATGTTTTAAGTTCTCTATAATACATTTTTAAATCTGTATTTCTTTCTTTCTTTTTTTTTTGGTACTGGGGATTGAAATGGGGACCTTGCACTTATGAGGCAGGTGGCGGCACCACTGAGCTAAATCCCTGGCCCTGTATTTCTTTTTTAAATGCATATTAATGTGTTGTTGCACGTGATGGTTACATTCATCATAGGGAGTTGTTACATGTACATAATACATCTTTTAATGTTTTATTTTGTACAGGGGATTAAACTCAGGACCTTGCACTTGCAGGCAGGCATGGTGCCACTGAGCTAAATCCCTGGCACATCTTAATTCTTTTTACTTCCTCTTGCCCACCAGAATTTTTTGTTTGTGTGTGGGTTTTTTTTTTCTATTTTTGGGGGATGGGGAGGATCCCAGGATTGAACTCAGGACCTTGTGCTTATAGGGCAGGCACAGTGCCATTGAGCCAAATTCCCAGCTGTTGTGTGTTTGTTTTTGAGACAGGATCCCTCTATGCAGTTCAGGTTGTCCTTAAACTCACTAATGTAGCCTAGGCTGGCCTCAAACTCTTGACTGTCCTGCTTCAGCCTCCTAAGTGCTGGGATTACAGGTATGTACCGCCACATCTGGCTTCCTTCATAATTTTTGAAAATGAGGAAAGAGAATTATTTGTGTATAGATAGAGTACATGTGGATTTATAGAGTATTGTTTTGCATAAATTTTCTATTTGGAACTTCTTAGGAAGAAGCTCAGAAGAACCAGCTCTGCCTCTAGATGTTATGTGGCATAAGGATTGATGATTGCAGTGGTTGTAATTGTATTGGTCCTATGTGTGCAAGTAAAGTTTGCGAGTACTATAATGTTTTTCTTCTAATAATGTTTGGTCACAGTCAGAGTAGTATTCGTAGTGTTCTTCTATTTCATTTGGGAGGCTAAGAGCAGCCTTGCATGTGTAATAAGGCACCTTAAATTATTTTTTTCCAAGAAGCCAAAATCCCTTTTTATTTTTTAAAGCCTTTTTGGTACCTGTATATTCCCTAGATTATTTGAGTATACTGAATTTAGAAGGTCTAAATTTAGATTCTAGCACTGCCATTTGCTGACCAACCCTGGGCAGATCTATCACAAAGTGGTAGAAAAAAGTTGGCTTTCTAATTAAACCTCAGTTTGGGTCCTTAGTCTAATGTTATTAGCAAGTTATATAAAACCTCTGAAGTTTAGGACCGGGGATTTAGCTCAGTGATGCTGCCGCCTGCCTTGCAAGTGCAAGTACCCCAAGTTCGATCCCTGGTACCCCCCAGAAAACCTCTGAAGTTTAGTTTCTCAGTAGTGAAAATTAATTAAATACTCTAGTTGGCCATGTGAGTATTTGGACTAGACCTTTTAGAGATGTTGGGATGAGGAGGCAGTAGCCTAGGAAGGACTTCTAAGTAGGAAGGATTTCTAAGAAATAGAGCTACTAAGCTCAGTACCTGTGATATTTGTGCTTGACAAATAAGGTTTCGTAAGTTAAAGAAATTTCCAAAAGTAAATCCTTTTTCTTATTGCTGCCTAAAGAAGTAACTTCACTCTGTAAAATGACTGAGTCACTAGACTAAGAAATTACTTTTTTCTTCATTTAGAGGCACCTGCACCAATGTCTGGAACTCTCACAATAATTGTTGGACTTTTTCTGGGGGGTGGGGTGCGAGGATTGAATCCAGACCCTCATCTCTTACGCCTCACCAATGCTTGCTGTGCCACTGAACTACCTACTCCCAATTGGAAGGATATTGATTGAAAAAAAATTATTAGTGGTTCTGAGTTTAAATATAAGGGAAAACTTGTTTACTTTGATAACACTAATTTTACAGAGTTGTGTTGAGAGGTTACAATTGTAAAATCTATTTCATACTGTCTGGTTTATAATAGGTACTTAATATTTTTTTCCTTTTTGTCCTATCACATTTCTAAACTCAGTAAAATTAAGTGGGTCTCTTCTAATTCTAAAATCTTATAATCTCCCCCTTTTTCTACTCTCTTTTCACTACTTTATTGTCCGTACCGTTTATATTGTCTCATATTGGTGCTTCATTTCTCCCTCTCTCCTTCCCTTCCTTCCATTTTTGATTGTCTGTGAGACAACATTTCACTTTTTTTTTTCAGGCTGGCCTTGAACTTCTTATGTAGAGTGAATTCTTGGCACTCTTCTTTACCCCAGCCTCCCGAGTGCTGAGATTGTAGTTGTAATCTGGCTATTTTTCTTTTATTTTTATCTTTTGTTACTAAATAGGAATTAATCCCAGGGACTCACACATGGTAAGGAATGGCTCCACCACTGAGCTACATCCCCAGCTTTTTTAAAATTTTTCTTTGAGACAAGGTCTCACTGAGGTGCCAAGGCTGGATTTTATAATCTTCCTACCTCAATTTTGAAATACTTGGGATTACAGGCTGTGCCACAGTGACCTACAAAACCATATTTTTATTTCTTGGAAATCATATAGAGGAGGGCTGGGGATTTAGCTCAGTGGTTCCGCCGCCTGCCTTGCAAGTGCAATGATCTGAGTTTGATCCCCGGTACCAAAAAAAAAAGAGGAAATCATATAAATCATATAGAGGCATTTTATATAGCTCAATGTTGTATGAGATTGTAGCTCAGAAAGTATATTTTGAAAGAGTACACACATTGAAGAAAGAACTCAAGATGTGATTATAGAAGATAGTAAGTAGATGGAGGAAATTTCAGTTAGAACAGCAAGAAGAGCCAGGTGTGGTGGTCTGCATTTGTAAACCTAGCACTTAGGAAGCTGAAGCAGAAGGATCATGAGGTTTAGCCTAGCCTGAGCTACATGTCTCAAAAAGCAAATAAACAAAAAGATGAGGAATTTTCTGATTATTGAATTCAGTGTTTAAGTATTTAATATATATATATATGAGATATTTTCTTTTTACCACCTTTCCTATCTAAAAAATGATTGTAGGTTAGATCTGTCATTAGCTGTTTACAAACTATATTTTAGTCCTAGAAGTAAATACTCAGGGGCCAGGGATTTATCTTAGTGATGCTGCCCCGGCCAGCGGGGTTCGTTATTAGTAGGGCTCGAGAAGGGGACCACCCAGATCGGGAACGGGAACGACACAGAAAGACAGGAACCAGACAGAGCTCTTTTAGTGGTCAAAATTTGACAATTTTTATTTCTCACACAGCAGCTTTTATGCAGGCAGGGATGAGCAGGGACTTTCCTGGTTGCTAGGTTACCTAACCTAGGCTGGTCTAGCTAGATAAGGTAGGGCATGGCCAGAATGTCGCCGGGAGGGGTTAGAATGTCCCCGGGAGGGTGTAAAGTTCCTATCAGGGGCACACACACACACACAAGGTGGAGGGTCACACACACGGAGGGTGGAAACGCACATAGGTCTTGGTCTCCAACAGATGCCACTGCCTGCTTCCCAAGCCCAAGGTCCTGAGTTTGATCCCTGGTACCACCCCCCAAAAAAGTAAATATTCAAGTAAGAAGTAAAATGCTGACAAAAGTTTCCCTGGACTTCTGTCTTCTTGTGGGTTATAGTAGTCTTGGTTCTGTATTTGGATCTCTACAGACCTTCTCTTTGCATTTTGTATAGATTGAAAATGAGATTTTTGTATGTGTTCATGGTTAATTTTTAGAATTTGATGGAATTTTAAACATTGCCCAGCCTAGGTGTGGTAATGCATGTCTAATCTGAGTGCTTGGGAGATTGAGGCAGGAGGATCTCTTCAAGTTCAAGGCCAGCCTGGGCTATATAGTGAGTTCAAGGCCAGCCTGAACTACATAATGAGACCCATCTCAAAAAAATATTGCCCAGTCTTCCTTCTGTACTCTTTCCCATTTTATAATCCAGATGGTTAAGAGGCTAGTGGTTAGCACTAGTTAGTGACAGAACCAGGAGTACAGTCTGAGTCTTTGGATGCCCAAATCAATATTCTACCTACTCAAGCAAATGATAGTCTCAAGAAAGTACAAATTGTTGGGAGGAACAAAACAAGTTCCTTACTTGCATAATTTTTTCCTCTAAAGGTTTTTCTTTGGTGTTCTTGACTCAAAAAATTCCAACTTTGTGGTATTTTAAAAATCAAGATTAAAATTAATAGATGGAGCACTTTGAAGCATAATACAGTTGACTTTGTAATTAGCAGAGTTGAAAGTGATGAGAAGATCCTTTAATTTTCTTTGTGCCTGCAGGAAGGTGGGAGTCAATCATTTTGACAAGTCTCCTGAAAAGAACAGCTAGCAGGAGCTGAAATCTTTTCCATTTGGTCTCGTGGCAAAGGCAGAGATTGCTGTAACAGCTTTACACAGTATGAAAGATATTTATCTTCCTGTATTCTTGTTTTTTTGTTTTTTTAATTCTAAGAGTTACACATTTTTTAAAAATGTAAACTAGATATTTTACATAATATTTGTTTTGTTTGTATGTTATAGATATGATTCCTTGATACTACATATAGAACTACTTCATTATATTTTTAAATAATTGAAAAGCATTCTATAGCATAAATGTCCCCATGATTTTACTGAACATTTCTTTTGATGATAGATATTTACTAGGTTGTTGCCAGTATTTGGCTGCTTTGAACATCCTTGTGTATATTTCCATGTGTATTTCTAATAGGTACTTCTGTTCCTATTCCTCAGAAGTGAAATTGCTAGTCAAATGGTTTTGTCAAATTACTCTTTGCAAAACATTTTGCTGACTTATACTCTTACTCATACTGTATAAGAGTGCTTATCTTGCCATATCCTTACCAACCTGGATTTCATGTCATCGTAATATCATTTTCATAAGAAAAAATACCTTATAATATAAAATGTTTAAAATATATTTCCATGATTCTGATAAGATTAAATATCTTTATATTGTCTCAGTTGTAAATTACAGGGCAAAGAATTTGAATTATTAGGATGCCACATATATAGTGGCTTCATGTGGTTTAAAGTTTCTGTTCCTCAGTGGAACTTCCTCTTCTTTATCTAGATATGATGTGCTCACTGATGCCCTCTGAGCAGTCTGCTGGTGCCTCTTTCTTACCCCAAAACAATGCCCCATTTTCTTGGAGCTCCTTGGATGAGGATGAATTGGATGACTCTTTGCTGGAGCTTTCTGATGGAGAAGAAGATGACGGCCATTTCAGTCTCACTGAGGAAGAGATCGAGGAGCTTCTGAAAGATGATAGCTCATCAAATGAGGAAGAGATTGAAGAATTCTTGAAGGATGATGAGCCATCAAATGATCAGGCAAATGGAGAAAAAAGGAGTCAAATTCTACTTGAAACTCCCCAAGAAAAAAGTTCATTGTACAGCTTCAGACCAGTACCTGAGACCCCTGGCCTCTTCAAACTACCTCAACTAAATACAACAGTTGGTCATGAACCAGCTCCTACTAAATCATTAAATAGGCATCTTGTACTAGAAAAGAATCATATAAAAGTGACTGTTGTTGCACCATTTGATCCAACAGTTTGTGATCCTGTGCTTGATAAGAGTAAGACTGATTTATCCAAAGATACCAAAAAACTCTCTTCCCTTGGAGAAGAGATGAGAGAATATGATCTTACCCCAAATGAGAGCAGAGTTCACACTGAATCTGAAGAGATCAGCCCTAACATTTCTGCTTGGGATGGTACCTCTTCTTTGAACAGTACCTTTCAACAAACTGTCTCTGATAAAAATACACTTGACAGTAAGAAACCTACACCTGTGTTCTCTCAGATCTCAGATCATTCAAAAACTCCTTCCAGTACAAGTTCATCCTGGAAAAATAGTGGATCGCATAAACTACATTGTGAAATGAGGTCTCCAGTTGTTTCCAGTTCATCAAAGAGAGTAAGTACATTTTTTTCAAATTGAAGAAAGAAATAACATTATTTTCATTCAGAAGAGTTCCTCTATATCTCTGCCTCCATACATATACAACTTTCCTTGCTATAGACTTGTACCACCTTGATGCATGTATTACAATCTAGCAGAGCTTTATAGTCAAATAAATTAGGGTTTTAATCCTTACCAGAACTGTAACTATGGTCTAATTATTTAGCTTTCATGTTCCCCAATATCTGCTTCTCTCTCTCTCTCTCTCACTCTCTCGTACAAAGGATGGAAAGTAGGGCCTTATGCATGGTAGGCAAGTGCTCTGTGCCACATCCCCAACCTCTCCTTGACATTATTATCTATAAATTAGTGAATACATTTTATAATATGAGGATTAATAAATGACATACGGGGCGGGGGATTTAGCTCAGTGGTTCTGGTGACTGCCTCACAAGTGCAAGAACCTGAGTTTGATCCCCAGTACCAAAAAAAAAAAAAGGTAATAAATGACATACATATAGTACTGGTACCTGTGAAATGATTATTGAATATTTACTAAAATGATAGTGATTTATTATTATTTTCCTTTTGGGTTTCAGTGTAAGTCTCAATCTTTGGTTGTTTCATTCTGCTTTGTCTTGTTTTTTTGAGACTGAGTCTTGCTATGTAGCTCAGGCTAGCCTAGAACTCACTTCAATCCTCCTGTCTCAGCCTCCCAATTGCTGGGATTACGGGTGTGTGCCACCACACCCAGCTTAATCTTTGGTTGTTATACTTTATTCAGTTGAACACTAGCTCTGAGTTAGCCATCAGAGAACTGTCTTGGGCATTTTACCTAATCTTTTTGAGTCTGATTCATCTACCAAATGGGTACCGTATAATAATCCCTACCTCTTTTTTTGAGGGGGGATTATAGATACAGGGTCTGGCGTATTGGCACATGCCTATAATCCCAGCACTCGTGAGACTGAGGCAGGAGGATTGCTGTGAGTTCGAGACCAGCCTGGGCTACATAGTGAGTTCCAGGTCAGTCTCAACTACATAGTGAGACCCTGTCTCAAAAAACAAACAAACCATATAGTTCAAGGCTAGCCTGAAGTACATAGTGAGATCCTGTGGCCTCCTCAAAAAAGATTATAGTTGCTGTGTTACTTAAGTCATTACTATAATGTGTGGTACACTATAGTATTCAAGGATATATGTTTGTAACCTTAAATTAAAAAAAAAATTATAACAACTTACAACTAAAAACCATCTTTCATCTTGGATTCCTTCTGCTCTGAAAAGGATGTTCTTGACAAGGATTCTGGAGAGATGAAAGGCCGTGAGAAAAGAACAGGCAAAGTCATTCCTGTTCTACAAACCAAAACCAGGTAATATAACAGTATAAATATTTTGGTTTCTATTGGTTCTCTTTAATTTGTATCTTTCCTTCCCAGTATTCCTCAGTGTGTGTATAGGGGAAACCCAACATTGGGATTAATCAAACTTGGAGTTCTGGCACTTCCAATGGTATATAGTTTTTGGTGAATCAGTCTCTCACCTCAATTTCTCTGTCTGCAAAATAAAGGTAACAGTGTCTTCTCTGCTGCTATACAAGGTTATTTTGAAATTTAAAATGGAGTATTGGTATTAAACATCAAAGTGTATGGGGAAGCTCAGTCACATATATGATAGCAGGTTAGAATAATTTTAACAAAAATGTTAAAATCTAACTGTGTAGAAAATCAGCTAGTCATTTTTCCCACCTTGTACACAGCTACCCTTGGGAAATACATATTCTAGTCAGAGGTTATAGATTTAGGTCACCTCTTCCGTTTATTTTCTTGTTGCCAGGAGATGGCAGTGTCTGTACATGGGTCTTTGAATGTCCTACAAAAGCTGTTTTTTTAGGCTGAATCAGATAGACTTACAGTAAAATCTTTTAAAAATTAATTTTGATGCTGGGCATGGTGGTGTATGCCTGTAAACCCAGCACTCAGAAGGCTGAGGCAAAAGGATTGCTATGAATTTGAGGCTGGCTGGTGCTACATAGTGAGTTCAAGGCCAGCCTTGATTACATAGCAAGACTCTGTCTCAGAAAAACAACAACTACAAAATTTTTATTATAATTATTAAATATTCTGCTTTAACATTTTAGAATATATTATAAGTAAGGCTAATCTTTTGTTTCCACCCCAATCCCAGTTTTCTTGTATTGTCTTATATTTCTTGTATTATAATTGAAAGAAACCTTTGTAAATTGCTTGCAGTGGAAGTATATAAAAAGAATGCAAGTCATGCTACTTGGAAGTGTAATAAATTTACAATGTTAGTATTCTCATCCATTGACTCTTTAGTACACTCCGTCTTTATCTCATGCAACTTATTTATGGCTCTGTTAAGTTAGCAATTTCCTGACTACCCTTGAATTAACAAATGCTTTCTTTTGCCAGGGACTAGGTAATCTTTACCTTCTTATCCCTTGTTTGCAGTACGTTGTATCTATTTTTTGTCTTCTTTTTACACTCAACTCCATACTAGATTTTAGATTTGTGTTATGTGACTGTCTTCTGTCACTGGATCTTAAAAGAATTTTGCCTCTGAAAATTGGTTATTCTAAGCAGTCAGCACTATGTGCTTCTCTCTGTAATGCACTATATTCATGGTTCTAATGAACTTTTTTTTCCTTCTTTGCTTTGTTCAAGGACTAATGTTTCAACATTTTCACAATCGGATCTAGAACAGCAGAAGCAGATTTATCTCAGGCGTGTCTTTGATCATATAGAAGACCCAGGGGACTCTAACCAAGGTAACATGGTAAACAAAGAGTGACATAAGGGCCGGGGATTTAGCTCACTGGTGCTGCCGCCTGCTTTGCAAGCACAAGGTTCTAAATTTGATCCCTGGTACCCAAAAAAAATATGTCATGGGACTTTTTTTTTTTCCATTGTAATGCAGCCTAAACTGAGAGATTGTTTTGAATTTCCTTAAATTGGTGAGAAAGATAACTTCCTTACACAGATTTTTACTTAAAGGGCTTGCCTAATCAAATAATTATCTAAAGCAGTTTGGCTACCAGTGTTAGAGATAGGTCTGGGAAGACTCATGCAGAACTGAACGTGAAGAAGTCACCTTAACCTCACCATCTGCTTCCGTTGACAGCTGGAGGCCAGATCTTGACTTTTTGCTGGGGATTTTTTTGTTTGTTTGTTTGTTTGACAAATATTAGAAATGGATGGCCTGGTGCTCCTTATTAATCATTCTTTTTGGATTTTGTTTTCATTTGAAATTATTTTCCCCATTGCCTTCAGCATTTACATGTAAAAAGCAGGCATTTCAAACACCATCTTGAGTCCTGTGTGTTGAATAAAAGCTCTTGAAATGTTTGACTGTCTTCCAGATCCTTCAAACTAATTTCAATTTACTTCATTAGAAACTATTATAAACCAAAATGGCTGAATTCTTTCTTTAACCCTCCGTCCACAGACTATAGTCCGTGTTATCATTTAGTTTAAACTATTGGGAAAATCTCTAAAGAGAAACTTGTGGGTAGAACTGACTTTGCAGGATTTAAGGAGGTTATATACTGATAAAAGAATTCCTTCTCCATATTTTGCCATCTTTAGTTTCTTTGTATTCACTCAGCAAACCTCAAAGTATTGTCAGTGGTGCTAGGTTTGAAGTTAGGAATTGGAACTATAAAGAGGAGGAATATTGAGTGTCAGCCTTCTGGGAATTCAGTCTTGAAAAGAAGATAATTATACTGCAGTATTGATTAGTTCTCTAAAGAATTACATTTGCTGGGAAGGAACCCTTCTGTTTGTTGGGAATAGTAGAAGATGGAAGAGGAGGATGTCTGAAGTAAACTCCACAGAAAAGATAATGAGTTTAAAATCTATAAATTGCTAGGGAGAGCTATAGTGGGATTTTTCAGTCTTTCCACAAGGAGACTCTCCTTTCTTTTGAAAAATGCTGACTTAGTTGTGTGTGTGTGTGTGTGTGTGTGTGTGTGTGTGTGTGTATTTATTTTATAAGGCTGTTAGTGAAACCCCGAGATAGTAGTCAGAAGAATTTTTTACTTTGTGCCCTTTATAATGATTTTACAACCTGGCGCTTGTAAGATCTTTTTGTTCGAACTATTTTAGGTGTGGTGGAAATAGAAACATCCACCCATGCTGTTGGAGTAGTAGATTTGTTTATGATCAAGTTTTGTGAAAAAAGGCCTGCTGGTTACCCCTACCCCTACCCTGCTTTTTGGTGGTGGTACTAGGGCTCAAACACAGAGCTCTTGCATGTAGGCACATACTCTGCCACTGAGCTACATCCCCAGCCTGCTTCTCCCTCTTTAAAGTTACTTTCCTTCTTTTATATCCTCAGCAGTTGATATTGATACCTAGTTATATTTTCATTTCTCCTTTGGGATGTTTAAGAAAGAATTCATGAGAAAAGCAAAGAGCAGCTCCTCACATTATAGTACCTTTTCCATTCTCTTCTTCACTCAGAAATCCGTCTTCCAATATTACCACAATAATCTGTATCCTATGTATATTCAAGGAACAGCTAGGTAATGAATATAGTAGAAAGGCAGCAGACTTAGTGGTTGAGTAAATAAAGTCTAGCTTTAAGTAACCTCTGGGTTCATATCCTGGCATCACTGCTTACAAGTTGGATGACATCAACCCATTAAAAACTCATTTATGTATGTGTAAAAGGAGGCTAAAATAAGGCTTAGCTTATGTTAAGATTGTATAACATACAAGTTTAATGCATAGAACAATACCTAGGCTCTAGCTGCTAGCATTTGAGGAATACTTATTACTACTGACAACAAAGTTAATCTTTCATATTAAAATTTTTATAGGTAAAAGGGTGTGACTTGGGGTTTAAATCCCAAAAAATCTTGGAAAATCAAATGAAACAGCTCTTTTAAAATGTTGGAGAGGGGCTGGGGATTTAGCTCAGCAGTTTGGTGGCCTGCCTTGCAAGCGCAAAGACCTGAGTTCAATCCCCAGTACCAAAAATAAAAAAAATAAATAAAATAAAATGTTGGAGAAATGAAACTTGAGTGATGGGTGTATGAGTAAACTATCCTTTACTTTTACGTGTATTAGAAAATTTCCATAATAAAACATTGTTTTTAATTGTTATTTACTTTTTTCTGTGCTGGAGATTGAAGATTTTTTTTTTTTTAATTCCATCTTTTAGCAGGGTTTTTTGTTCTGTTTTGTTTTTGGTGCCGGGATCAAACTTGGAACATTTATAGCTCAATATTTTCAACATCACCAGTTACTCTAAAGATTCCATAAGCTTCTGGCATCTGTATCTGCCTTCCCAGAATCCAGTATAATACTGAGTTTTCATGTCATTTCCACTGCCCAGGATTCATATATCCAAAGTCTTAAGATTTTGTATAACGTATTGCAGAGGATAGAGGAGGTTATTCGTCTTTTCTCTGTTTGTATATGAAATACAGGATAGTCAGAAGACAAAAGGGGAGTGTAATGCTTCCTGTCTTCCTCCTTGAAATGTTTAGTGCTATTTTGAGATAGAGTACTTGATAAAGTTGAACTCTTCATATTATTATTAGACACAGAAATTATAGATTCAAATGTAGTTCTTGTTAATTCAGTTTTAATCCTCCATTGGTTCAGTCATCTCTTTGCACTTTATTAACATTGTTTATACTATGTTATTGGTACAGAATATAACAAAATAAATCATCCTTCTAGTTCATTATTCTAAAATAGGCATAATCTCTTAGTTCAGTTTAGGCTGATAAGAGTTTTTAGTAACATTTACAAAGAAATAACAACTACTTCCTGCCTGGCATTTTAATTAATGGAAAACTTTATATGGAATTCTTTAACCTCCTAACATAAATCTGTTCTAAATGTCTTTGTCATATGATTATTCAGCCTTTACTTAGAATATGAATAATACAAAATTTTCAAATTCAACCATTGCTTTGAGAATTCATTATTCAAAAATCTTTTTTTTTTCTTTTGTATTGGGGATAAAACTCAAGACCTTGAGCTTTTGAGGCAGGCACAGTGCCACTGAACTAAATCCCCTGCCCCATTGAAAAGTCTTTTTTTTTTTTTTGAGAGCCTCACTATGTAGTTGAGACTGACCTGGAACTCACTATGTAGTCCAGGCTGGTCTCTACTCACAGATCCTCCTGCCTCAGCCTCCCAAGTGCTGGGATTACAGGCACGCTTGCTCTACCACGCCCAGCTTGAAAGTCATTTCTTACATCCAGCTAACTTGGCTCTTGGCTTCTCTATATTTTTTCTTTTTCTTTTTTTTGGGGGGTGCGTGGGGTGAGAGTTGTATTAGGGATGAAATTCAGGGAGTACTGAACTATATCGCCTCACTTTTTTTTTTTGAGACAGCCTTGTTAAACTGAGGTTTGGCTGGCCTCAAACCTGTAATCTCTGCCTCCCAAATACCTGGGATTATAGACATGTGCCACCATTGTTGATGTCCCTGTAATTTCAGGTGGTAGTTCCTTGTTCTGCCTTCTAGGATTACAAAAAATAACATTATACTCCCTTTTTTAATTCTTTTGGTTATTAGAAATACTGATCCTCTTTCCTACAAAAAAAAAAAAATTAAAATCATTTCTCCACCTGCCACTTAGAAATAGCAAAATTAATTTATTTTGATACTTATCTTTCCTATAAGGTAGAAAATATACAGTGAAGCTACATATTAGTTTGCTTTGTACTTAATGTATTTTAGGGACCTTTCTATATTAAATATGAGCTCAAAGCCAGCCTAAAGCACAGCAAGACCCTATTGCAAAATAAACAAGATTTTAAATGATTGTACAGTATCTTGTTATATAATTTATTATACCTTGGATAATTAGGTTACATCCATTTTTAATAGTAATGCTATAGTGAATATTCTGGTCAATAAATATTTATATACAACTCTTATTTCTGTAGGTTGAATGTCTAGAAGTGGAATTGCTGGGTAAAGTATGTAAACACTTTAAAAACTTTGTTACATGTTACCAAATTGTCCTGCCCCCAAATTTTTAATTTTTATTGCCACCAATATTTAAATGGAAATTTTAACATCTTATTTTAACAATAATCATAATGATTTTTTGAGACAGGATCTTGCTATGCAGGTCAGGTTCACTATGTAGCCCTTGTTTTAATAATTATTAAAGTTAAACTTTTTTTGGACGGGGTACCAGGGATCAAGCTCGGGTCCTTGCACTTTTGAGGCAAGTGGCGGAACCACTGAGCTAAATCCCCAGTTCTTAAAATTAAACTTTTTGATGTTTATTGATAATTTATATTTAATAATAATTTCCTAAATTTCCATGCTGAATGGAATCATTATGTAACTGCAAATATACTAATAAAATAGAGAAAAACTGGAAAAAATTTTTCTTAAATTCACTGACTAGTCCATATTTCAATTTGCACAATTTTTCCAAAATGTCTTTTTCTAACTTTTTGTTTTTTGAGACAGGGTCTCACTACGTAGTTGAGACTCACCTGGAACTCACTATGTAGACCAGGCTGTCTCGAACATACAGCGATCCTCCTGCCTCAGCCTCCTGAGTGCTGGGATTACAGGCATGTGCCACCATGCCCAGTGTCTTTTTCTAACTTTATTCAAATAGTACTTAATCAAGGCTCACATGTTTAGATATTGTCTTATTAGTCTTTTTATTTATTTTATTGGTACTGGGGATCCTTGTGTTGCAAGGCAGGTAGCGGCACCACTGATCTAGATCCCCGGCCCTCTTATTAGTCTTTTTAAATTTAGGCTCTTTGGTTTGTAGATTAT